GAACAACGCTTAAGTGTTTATTTCCTTGAACATATTTTTTTGTTTTTATTAGAATTGGATCGGATAAAAAACGACTTTAAATATAATTATAATCATATCAGAACTTAATCGAATCAGATCAAAATCAATAAGATAAGTTAAAGATTAACAAGGTCTAAGTCCAAACTAGTCTAGTTGGATCCTAATTTTCAAAAGATTAACAAAGCATACTGTGTCAGCAGGTAAATTATTTTTGAGAGATTGTGATAAACTTGGATATTTTTGATGAGATTGAAATTTGAAATAATTAAAATTAAATTTAAATTTATAAAAAAAATACATTTATGAATTTTGTAAAAAAAATACATTTATGAATTTTGTAATACATTTATGAATTTTTGTAACTAGCATTGTTCAAAGTTTAAATGTCAACGAAAAGATGATGAGCATTTAAAATGATTATGGGGTGTGCTAGACTTTTTTACCGTGTACTTTTTTTAAAATGTAATAACGTACTCACTCTGTCCCAAAAAGTCTTTCCTGTTTAATATTACGGTCTCTCGATAACTCCAATTTGTTTGCGTGTTTTCATTGATCATTTGATAAAAAAAAATATTCTTGTCGCCTCTTATTTTGTAGAGTTTTCGATGTAGTTTTTAAATATAATTTTTTATGTGTTATTTCCTTACCAATTTCAAATAAAATCATTTTAAAATCTACGGTGTTTTGCACGTTAATCAAAACAAGAAATTCTTTCTGGGACAGAGGGAGTACTTCCTTAAGTTCATAATTACGATCTGTTAAGCTTAAAAGCATCACTTTTCCTACAATATCACTTTATCCTTTAACTTTTCCTACCATTCTCGAACCACTTCCCTACTTTTAAATTACTAGCATTTTAACCCGTGCGATGCACGGGAATAAATGATTTTTTTGTTTGGAATTTGTAATTTTCTTTTTACTACAACATTTTTCAGAAATCGAACAAAATAAAACTTAAAAGTTAAAATAATGATAAAGCATATAACATTTGTTAATGATAATTTTACTATGTACATTTGAAAATTATTAACATATCAACTGCTAGGTAAATTAGAATAATTTGAAAAAAATTGAAGTATACAATATTTGTATAATGTTATAAAGACTACTAAGAGCATCTCCAATGCATCATTTAAAACAGCTAAAAAATATTTAATAACTGACACTGTAGCTTTTTGAAGCCCTTTATGTGCTCCAACGGGTAATCCATAATTTGGAGGGCAAGCTATTTGTCAGGCTCCATCTTTCATAAATAGAAGTTCACTGTTGGTCTTCTATTATTAAAAAATTATAAAATAATGGGATACAATAGGTGATTCAGTGTAATGAGGCCCAATTGCAATCAAGGAAATGGAAACACGTTTGAGGAGAGAGAAATGAAAAGTAAAACAACCAATAAAATATAGAAATATGCATGATCCCATTGGAGTGTGAGAATAAAAATCAATTGCTATAACACTGTTAATCATCTACTTTAACATTTAGCTGATAATTTTTTAAACCATGCGCTGGAGTTGCTCTAAAGGTATCTAAATTAAGGTAATACTTTCAACTCTACTTTTACTCTCATTTGTGAAACATCAATTTGTATAGCATCAATGTTAAATTAACCATTAGTGAATACCGACTTTATAATATACAATCATATAAATAACAATGTTTGGCTCTAACTTTTAATTATAATCATAACGAACTATAAACATTTGAAAATTGTAATTTTTGAAGTTTCAAGGGTAATCCTATATGAAACAAACATAATTAACTTAGGTTGTGTAACCTTAACGACTTTGTTTCCTAATGTTATAATTGTGCGGGAGAAGATTTTTTGCAATTCTTCAACGATTAACATTGTAGTATTACATAATTCAAATGGTTAATCAGTGTTCCCAAATAACATAATGAGTAGATATTTCTTCAAATTAAAATTACTTTATGGCTTACGATTCATAAATATTTATTTTCATTCATAAATTTAACTTTTATACAACCGCCTTTGATAAGCAAAAAAACGATTCCCTCCACTCCCGGATTAGTTTAGATTAGAAAAAAATGATTCATCTATCCGCATTAATATAATTCTTCTCCCTTGGTGTAAAACTATCTTCATCCAAGCATGTCATAAATAAATATCAATTTTTTTGAGGTTAAGAAAATATATTTTATTAAGGAAGGAAATTTTATTTATTCACTAAAAATTTTATTATAAATGAAGTGAAAAAATATAAATTATACAATATATTCTAATAAAAGCGTTGATCTTTATTGCACAATTAAATTAACTCAATAATGTTAAAATCGTAAAGAATGTTAGTGTAAACATAATGTATTGCGGTGACACACTTTTGGTTCAACTGTTTTCTATTTTTCAATTAAAAACATCAAATCATAATAGATAATTAAAAACAATAAAATTTACATTTAAACTATAAATAATTATCTAAGGACTATAAACCATAAATTTTCTAGTAAATTCAAATCATAAAATCACTATATTCGAACTATGAAATTACGTATGATATTTGTTTCTATTTTAAGAAAATTATAGACCACTCAAATCTTGTTTTTTAAAAAAGTTATTTTTTTACATCAATATTACAATAAATACAATAAAAACAAACTTCATTTTAACATCATACACTTATAGTATGACAATGATTTAGAGTTAAAAAAAAATCTTATTTATTAATGAAAAATTTTATTATAAATGAAGAGATCGAAGTAAGAAATTTCAAATTGGGAAAGAATATTATCATAAAAATAAACTTTTTCCCCATATTTATACTTATTCAAATATTTAATCTCAAAATATTTATTTCACATTTTATATACGTTAAATTAGTCGACATATTAGGTGTCAAAACAAATATAAAAAATTTTCATACGTAAAAAAACTATTTTATTTATTAGTTGTCAGTATTTAAATAAATATAATCAAACTAATTTCATGTAAACTAATAAACAAATATAAAATTTAATTATAAGTGAGGAGAGTGTTTTATTTGTTATAAATGAAGAGAAAAAATAGAATTTGTAAAGGATATTATCATAAAAGGAAGATTGTTTTCCCATATTTAAATTTACTCAAAAATTTTTACCAAAGTTTTAATTTCATATTTTCTACATCAAAATTTATATGACATATTAGGTTTTAAAAAAAGGTTTATGAGTAAGCCACATGTCAGTTTCCTAATTACCTGAGTCTCATTTTTATACATAAAGGAAAAGATAAAAAAAATTGTATATTTTTCGTAAATTTTTTATTTTCATTATATTTATATATTTGGCTAATTTAAACATATTCTATTTGTATGAGAGTAATATTGAACATAATTTTATCATTATTAAAATTTTACTTTTTTCCTTAAAAAACTCACTTTTTTAAATTTGCACTAAGTTAAAATTTATACTGAAAAAATATATTGTAAATTAACTAATCATCTATTTGTGTTCAACTTTTTCTTCTTTCTAAAAACTATTGTCAAACTCGACAATAATTTTTTTGATCTAGCTTTTAAATATTATATTAAATGTATGTGAAATTGATATAGATGTAGAGTGAGTATCTTATCTATCATTATAAGTTACGTTGTAAATGAAGAGAAAATTTTATTAGTTTTAAGTTCAGTAGTCGATATAATATTTGAAGGAATATTATATTTATTTTATATTAAATAAAGTTATTATAATAATAATTATATCAAAATTTTATTTCTAAATGATAAAAGTTCTCATTTTGTTTTAATTTGTTTTAATTTTTCTATAAAAATGATTTAATTTCCTTTTTATTCAATTGACTGATTTTTAAGCTTAATTGGAATCTGAGAAAAATATTGTAGTAAAAGTTTTACTAAAAATTTTGTTAGTTAAAGAAGAAACTTGTCTTTTTCCGTTAATAATTTTATTTTATGCAATACTATATTTATGTTTCACTAATTTATTATGTTACATAATTTTAGTTATTACGGAGTATATCATAAATTAGTTGAAGGAAACTTTGAGTCAATGTTGTTGATGACATGTCTAATGAGGTGTTAAAAAAATGTCCAGTCAACCTGCCACGTGTCGTAATTCTAGAACTTCAACTCTCCTTTTTTATATATAAAGATTTTTTCAATATACATCTTTTTATTTTGCAAAAAAAAATTACTATCTCCGTCCTCAATTTGATTACAATTTTTTTTCTCTCTTCTCGATGACTTTTGTTTGTTTATGCGATTTAATTAAATATTTGATAAAATAAAATTATTCTTGTCACTTCTTGTTTTGTAGAACTTTTGACGTAATTTTTTAATATGTAATTTTTATTTCTTATCAATATATACCGATTTGTGTTGAAACAATAGACTTGGACACAATTCAACCCCAAAAGTTAACTCAAGAGATTGAGGTAGCCAATCTATTAAATAACAGCACAATATAAGACTGCATTGCCGATGTGGGATGAATAAGTCAACAATTTATAAATAAAATGACTTCAAAAAATGCGATATATCTCCTCATAAACCCCAATTTGTAATCAAACCAGGGACGAAAAGGATTAATAAAAATATTTGACCAATCATTTACTCCCTCCGTCCCTAAATAGATTACAATCTTTTTTTCTCTCCTCTCGATATCTTTTGTTTGTTTACAATTTCATTAAGTATTTGATAAAATAAAATATTCTTGTTACCTCTTGTTTTGTAGAACTTTTGACGTAGTTTTTTAATATGTAATTTTTATATCTTATTGATATACTAATTTGTAAATAAAATGATTTCAAAAGGTAATAAATTTTATTCCGTAACCTACAATTTGTAATCAAATTGGAGACGGAGGGAGTATTTTATTTCTTCGAAAATATTATTCTCCCCTTCTTATCTCTCTCCTTCCATTCTAATCATTTTTCTCTACTTTCTCCCACTATATCCTCTTGTTTCCCCTCTTCATTCTACTTGATTAGTGATGCTCTAATCAGCATTTTATTAACTCAAAGGTAAATCAATCAAGGAGCGATATATAGATTCATCACTTTCAAAACTCATTTTTGGACCAACCCAAGAAAAGAAAAAAGGAAAGTCATTTTAGAACTTCTCGTGGAGGGTCTTTCTTTCTTTCAATACAGACAACATGTCAAGATCCACCGTCCCCGTCTTCTTGGCCGCCGTTCTTTTTCACTGTCTTCTTCTTCTTCTCCCCGGGGAATCCCTGACCACCGCTTCCTCCGACGTGGAAGCACTTAAGGCATTCAGATCGTCCATAGACACCGCAACCATCGCCCCTTACTCCTGTTTGGGTTCCTGGAATTTCACCGCCGGCGATCCCTGTTCCCTCCCTCGACTCACCAACTTCGTCTGCGGACTCACCTGCTCCGGCAACCGAGTCACCCGAGTCGTCCTCGACGGGTTCGGTTACTCCGGCACTCTCACCCCTTTCATATCCAACCTCACGTACCTCATCACTCTTAACCTGCAGAACAACAAATTCTACGGGCCGATTCCCGCCGCTCTGTTCTCCCTACCCAACCTCCAGCACCTCATCCTCCGAGCTAACTCGTTCTCTGGCTCAGTCCCGCCCTCCATCGCCATGATCAAATCTCTGCAGCTCCTCGATCTCTCCTCTAACTCGCTCTCCGGGTCGTTGCCGGTTTCCCTAAACTCGCTCTCCTCCCTGATAAAGCTCGATCTCAGCTTCAATCGACTCACCGGGTCGATCCCGCCGTTGCCCCCAACCCTAATTGAAATCGCATTGAAATCCAATTCTCTCTCCGGGTCATTGCAGAAATCCTCATTCAACGGGTTGACTCAGCTGGAGGTCGTCGAGCTCAGTAACAACTCGTTCGCCGGAGCGCTGGAACCGTGGCTCTTCCGTCTCCCGGCCCTACAACAGGTCACCTTGGCGAACAACCGATTCACCGGTATCGCCGTAGAGAGACCCGGAAAAGTTAACAGCGGTCTCGTCGCCGTCGATCTGGGGTATAACCGCATCCAAGGCTACCTGCCGGAGAACTTCGCGTACTATCCATCTCTGTCGTCTCTCTCATTGCGGTACAATCGGCTGCGCGGAACCATACCGCCGCAATACGGGATGCAGCCGTTGTTGAGGAGGCTGTTCCTTGACGGCAATTTCTTGAAGGGGTCGCCGCCGGCGGGCCTTTTCTCGTCGGGTTGGCATCACAATGTCACCGGTAGCCTGGGGGGTAATTGTCTGCAACAGTGCCCGCGAGATTCGGAACTCTGCTTCAAACCTCAGAAGCCGGCGTCACGTTGCCGGGGTCAAATCTAGCGTCCAACTCCAAAGTTAAATGTCCAAATTGGGCATCACAAAGTCCAATTCTTTTTCCAAAAATGATGGGGGCACCAAAAATGTGATAGCTATTTTAGGAAAATGTTCCGGAAACCCCATTTAGGATATACCAAATATACACCAAGACAAAAATAAGTATACAGAGACCACATTTTAATGTCTTTCCACACAAAGACATTAATTTCTGTATGTGCTTATTTTTGACTTGTTGTGCATTTGGTTTACACCAAGCGAATCCAAGTGGGGTTCCTCAAGTACTCATAGCTATTTTATCCTAAGTTTCTCACAATTCACGGAGATAATAACTACCACAATTATTATTTGTGGTTTGTGAAAATTTAGATGTTAAATTTTTGGTGTTCTCCAGCATTACTTTTTTTTATTTCTTTATTCTCTTTAATGGTTTGAAGTTGTCAACAACGTATAGTTTTTGAGGTCACTCTTTTGATAATTTTGATTGTGTAATTTATTTGGTTTTTGGTACATCTTTAGTTTCCCTCATTAAAATAAAAAATTTCAAGTGAGTGCAAATTACTCCCGTCCAAATGTCCAATTCTGCTACCCACCTTTTTTCTATAGCACATGAAATTAATTACTTCATTAACCCCAAAATTAAAGGCATAATTTGACTCGGGTTAATGTAAGTTTTCAAATGTTGTTAGGATAATAATTTTAGAGCCGAATAATAAGTTAATATAAGAAAAAAGAATGTAAAAATAATTGAAACTACAGAGACATTGTGTGTACTCCCTCCGTTTCTATTTTGATTACAATTCTATTTTTTCTCTCTTCTCAATAATTTTTGTTTATTTCTATGCTTTAATTGATTATTTGATAAAATAAAATATTTTTGTCACATCTAATTTTGTAAAATTTTTTATGTAGTTTTTTATCATGTAAATTTTATTTTTTATTGATATACAAATTTTTAAATAAAATAATTTCAAAAATTATAAAATTTAACCTCATAATTTCTATTTTATAATCAAAATAAAGACGTAAAGAATATTATTTTTGGTGAGGTGGTAATGTCAAATGGAGAGTATGAAAATGTGCCTTTAAAGGTCAGGAATATTTAGTGCGGAGTATGAGAGTCCCTATTATAGTTCATGATTGATATTTCACTCAAACAAATTTTAAATTTAAATTACTTAATAAATTGAAAAAAAAACTTGGATTCGGTCTACTCAAAATAAAAGCTCGGTTCAACATTACCTTAGCATATAATTTTGGTATTTTTAAAATGTTATCGAAATATGATTTTTAATATTAATGTTTATGAAGTTCATTTTCTTACCTCTCCCAATAAACCAAATTCAACTAAATATACTTCATTTTTTAAAAAAACAAAACTTTTGAAAGCTTTTAATATACTCTATGAAGTCAAAGAGTAAACTTCATTTTGCACTAGAGAAATGTATGATAGCTTAGGTTATAGAGTCATTCTACCACTTAAAACTCATGCAATAGTTCTCATAGAATCACTTCACACACAAACAACCTGGGTTTGTGTATTGGTGTGTGTGTGTGTGTGTGTGAGTGTGTGTGTGTGAGAGAGAGAGAGAGAGCTCAAGTTGGAATGACCATGTATTGAATAAGAATGTGACTCAACAATGTCATTTTTTGCTTTAGTAAAAGCCAAGTAATCAACTCTTAGAAGCAGATTGAAAAATGAAAACTGTTGCAAGGATGCCCACCAATGTTGTGACGGCAAGGGCAACGGTTGGCAACGGAGATGTTAACCCAAAGTTCTACAAAACAGCACGAATGATAATACATTAGTCTAAACAACACATGGGAATGCTAGGAGTACCCCGAAATCGTACACCATTTCTACACCACACGGAAACACAAACATAATGTTTGTGCCCGAACAGACATTATTCCTTTACACCATGTTTGGTTCAGAGAATTTGGATAGAAAAGAAAAGAAAATGGTTTTCCATCAGTTTCCTCACCAAAATTGGAGGAATTTGGTTTTCTCTCCTCTTAGTACATTTTGCCTTCTCATTTTCTTTTTCTTCTACTTTTCTTTTCTTTTTCTCTCTAACCAAACAAAAAATATTTTCATTCTCATTTTCTTTTAATTTCTCTCTCAAATTCCTTGAACCAAACATAGTCTTAGTGCACAAGTGGTATATAGTTGTTGGAGTACCCCAATAATTTTCCAAACAGCATATGATATAAAAAAAAGATACTTAGAATTGGTGCAGTTGTACCTCAAGCAGTCCTTTGCCAGTGGATATTTCGACACTGATAGCAACTGCAAAGCCAATCATAGCAAATCGACCGAGCCAAATGTCTAAGCTGCTGCCTTCCTTGGTAGTCTGCTCGCATCTTACCGTAACCGATGCTCTTCTATGGGACGGTTTGATCGGATAAGAAGTCTTCAAGACTGGTTAAAATCAAAACCAGGGTTGAGATAAACACTAGCTTAGCTTAGTTGTTTAGATCATTGACTCAGTATTCTTCTAACCTATTGTATTTGCTAGAATCTTTTAGTTGCCTAGTATTATTTCTTAGCCGACGCTATCTTCTTCCTTAGTTGTTTTAGCTAGGCTCACTTGTGTAGTTTAAAAATGATTACAAGATATCATCATAATCAATTTGTTAAATCTCCTAGTACATTTGCCATTCGCCACATAAACATCAAGATCATCAGATGTTGTAGTCAAGTACTCCCTCCGCCCCAAAACGATGTATACTGTTTGACCTCGCAAAATGTAAGTGTTGAAAAATAAAGAGTTTGGGATTGAAATGTGTGTGGAAGAAAGATAAATGTTGTGAGCCACACATTTCATTCCTTAATAAGAAAGTAAAGAAGTAGAAAACTTTATTTTGAGACATCCTAAAAAAGGTAAGTGTAAACTTCATTTCTGGACAAAGTATACCTTGAGTATTAGTTACAAATTACACCGACAAAATGTAGTTAAAGAGGTGACGTCCATTGCCAAAAAAAGGTACAAGATTCATCATTGCTATGCTTTAGCATCAGTTAAATAATGGACTAAATCAAAATAGCACATCAAACAAACTTTGCTTCTTAGTTTTACTCTTTTGGGCACTGGATACAACAATGCACGAAAGGTCTAATGGAAACACATTATTTTTCACAGACAAAAAAAGATTGATACTCC